GGTTTGGTGAGGAATGAGGACAAAGCAAAGTATAGGTCAACAAATCGTAAAAATTTAGGTTATATAAATGGTTAGCTGACAAAAATACTTTCAAAGTTGTTAATGACTTTATCTACCTCACCTCAATTCATCAGAACTATGTGAGACGAATCGGTACCATTGTTTATAAACGTTGCTAAGGACTAGATAAACAATTGAGCTACAAAATTATTCTAAAAACTAACATTTAAAAGGTCACTTATCACTCTTATGCTTCCTTTTGGCGCAGAATGCTATCACGGAATGATGAATCAAGTATTAGACGATTCTCCATCATATGTTGACGACTTCTTTATACAAATGAACAATGAGCTGTACAATACCTATTACGACACTGAATTAATATAAATTCATTGAATTAATATTTAGCAGTTTCTTTGATTTTAGGATGCTTTGGAGATGAAAGACGAATAAAGTACCTGAAGTGGCAATTGGAGGAAGAAAACATGATCTTCATATCTTCTCAATAGCGCGATTAGGCAGTAGAAACGCGGAAACGGAATGTTATGGCCAATTATGAAAATTAGTATAAAATGGTATTATTTTAGTGATACAAATAGTGTAAATGACGCTATTATGATGTATTCCAACGATTTAGATTTTACCTTACTAATAGAAAAAAATAGGAAAATTAATAAGAGAATGTTAATTTACATTTATGAGACGATATTGTGGCGTAAAAATAAGCACCCAATGTGATGACAAATTCAGAATACGATGTATATAATTAATTCAATTATTTGTTTTTCTTGTTAAGAGATCTAGTATCTGTGTTTCAAAGAAATTAAAAGTCAGTAAATTGGCAAAATCCCTAACAACAGAACTCACAGAATTATTGTAAGATTAAACTATTAGTTAATTAAAATAATTTGATTAGTATGTATAAATGAAATATTTTTCTTGAATTACGAAATGTAGACTATTCCAAAATATGAAAAATAAAGCAATAAAGCCTTTGAACTGTGGAAGACTGTTTATAACTACACAGGCTCTTCTGGAGACGAACATCTCCACGCTTGAGTCAAAACAAAGGCTTATGTGAAAACAATGTCTTATGAATATAATTTGCAACATGTAGAGGATGAAGAACTGGATAAATAAAGGAAGAGTTAAGGACAGAACAGATCTCTTATTTGAAAAATGCAGAAATTGTAATATTTGTTTGGAAAAATTATGAATGAAGAAACCGGCATTGTAAGTAATAGAACAAATGAACTCAATCATTCTAGTATTAATTTAAAATATGGAATCAAGGTCTGTAAAGTAGAAATAACTGAAAGACGAGTATTATATGCTGATTTTGGTATATTTTAAAAGGGAATATTTTGTACTTAAAATTCTTATAAAAAAAACTCTATAAAGTGACCACAAATATTTAAACAAATATTTTCATTTTAAATTTGACTTAAACCCACAATACATATACTTTATAATAAAAAATGCATTTCACTGCATATATAAAGGTAAAAATATACGGATAAAAAAATGGTTATAAATAAATGAAAGGAAAATACAAACAAATTTAAAAAAATTTTTAAAGCCTGTAAATAAAGAAAAATATGTAAATTGTGAAATGCATTTATACATATTATATATATACTATGTAGATATATACGTATATATACAAAGCTGTACGTGTAGTTGTATCAACTGACATTGCAATGCCATGTTTAAATGTCGTACGGTAATATCTGTAATTTGCATTGTCCTTCCATCAGGATTTACGTTTTGTTAAAAGCCATTTGTCCTTCCAAGTGGTATGCCTGGTTACGTTTCCAACAAAGCGCGTACGAATTTTTCCGATTTTTTGTGCTTAAATTTTAAATGGCACCTTTGTTATTGCAGTTGGTAGTCATATTGTTATGTTAAAAAGAATAATGGAAGGGTTTTGGCCTTATCTTAGTGGCATATATTAACATAGGAATTGAAAACTAAAATGAGACTTGCACAGCAGTGCATAGAGAAAAATTGCTGCAACTCTGCTGGTCCGGCGTAATCGAATGATGAAAAAATCGTATAGCATAAAAGTAAGAACATCGCCTGCAGAGAAGCTGAGTTATGAAAAAGATTATAATAAAGTATAAAAACTGATAAAACAAATTTCATAAAATGTAAATTGTTAGAAATTTACAAAATTCTGTTTGTTTTTTATAAAAGTGCAAAAGACATGTGATATTATCCACATTATTTTCATGCTCAAAAACTTATAATTTAAGTAAACACTTTTAATGGAGATTATGGTTTTGATATATCACAATTAAGCTTTCATTTTTATATCTTCATGTATTTAATTATAAATGAACTGCTGTGTTAAACATAAACTTTTCTTAAGTATTAGAATGGATCGCAGCTTATCATTATGAACTTCGCCTATCAAGCAAAAATTTGCATTTCCTATATAAAAACATTTTACTCTGTTGGCAGTTGATTGCAGTCGAAGATGTAGAAAATGTTGTACAACATAAGGAACTGATGCCTGCAATATTAATGCAAATACTGAGAACAACATAATCACCGCAATAACAATTTGCAATAATATTGCATTGGTAATAGCAACAACAATAGCAGCAATGAAAACGGCGGAAAGTAATTGCGTTTATAGTTGCAGTCATGCTTAACACAATTTAGCACGTCAACAGAAGTTAAAGCATATTTACATTTACATCCTTTCAACTCAACTATAAGGTTCTATGTGTAATATCCTAATAACACAAGTGCATGCAAGACCCGACACTCGCAAACTGCAAGGAGTGTTAAACTATAGCACGAGAATGAAGTCAAGAGCTGAGGCTACACTGCTGCACTTTTATGAAATGGCAGGAATAAAAGGAAAATAAAACATTAAAGTGCACTAAAATGAGCCGGAAGTGCACCAGAATACAATGTTTTGTGCACTTGTTTTGTTATTTTGATGTTGTTGATGATGTGGTTGTTGCTGTTGCTGTTGGTGTTGGTGCAATAATGGTTGTTGTTTGTTGCTTCGACATGGCAGGCATTATTCTGCAGTCTTTGACTTTATTTAGTAACAATTTGAAAAAATGCACATTTCATTAATGTGCTGCTGCAGTGGCCATTAAACAATAAGAAATGGCGACCAACTATAAAGCAATTCAACGCGTTTATGAGGCGTTATAATGGCGTTACTGCATTACGCCTTGAAAGGTACTACGTGCTTTCATTTCATGCATTTTTGCTCAAGTTAAACTTCTAAAATTAGTGCCTTTAAAGCAAAATAGCACTTTGTTTTTATAGATTTTGTTTAAGTTTTTATTAAAAAATTTCTAAAAGTTCTTATACTCAATCGTTCATGCAAAAGTTCACCTTAAATGATTAAAGTTAGCAATTGACTTTTCATTTAAAAAAACATTTTTTTTTCTTAATTTCGTTTTTATCAATGGATTTTCTTTTAAACTTTATTGAAATTTTTTGTCGGTAATAAAAATTTATTGAAGTAAAATAAAGAAATCCGAAACTACGAACCTCTAGATCGAACACCGAAAAAAAAATCTGTTATAACTAAAGTTAATAAGCGTTATTGTAGACAAATCTCTTTCGAGGTTGTTAAATGGCACTTGGTCGTCGAAATTGACGAGTGACTCCAGGACGTAGACTTGGTCGTTCTTGAAATAATTCTCACCATTCACAAACTACCCCTTCTCCCTTATTATCTTACTCCTCTCTCTATTAATCATCCACTCTGTTACCATCTTCATCCATCTCTATTACCTACGTAACATATTCGTTTTGTAAAACTTTTTATGTCATCTACGATTAGGTTGCCTCGGGTGACAATAACAATAACCTTAATTGTAATTACAGAAAATTACTAATATCGCAGAAATATTATAAAGACGAGCGAATATAGTTCACATCAATATTTAGCTAAGAAAAAACCGTTTGCAGTTAACTAAAATTAACAACGATTTGTTGGTCTTCTGCGTTTTCTATACACACTTAAGTGACTTTATACCCCTTGATTTCAGCAGTATTAACCAGAGATGTCCGCCAGACAACTCGAACAGTCGGTAGTAACGGCTGTCTTTTATCATTGCTCATAATATTGATAAAAATAATATTTCACAATTGCCTACTGAGCCTGTTGTAATATCTATTGGCAACAGTGATTCTTTGTTATATCTCTAGACTGTCATCATTTTTGGTATTTACGCTGTTTCTCACATAAACAAAGCCGTTCATAGTTTTGAACTTATAGTTCTCAACAGTGCGTGGATCCCAAGAAACCTAGGAAATTTGTTTATTTACAGAAACTACTTTTTTTCTTTTACCAGAACACTAATTTACTATGAAAGCTGAAATATACATGATCAAGAACAGAACATTATTATCTTCGTAGAAAGTCAGGTAGTAATAAAAGCAATTGAATGGTTTAGTCGAGGATCGCAATGAAATATCGCGCCTTACTAATGAATATTACATGCCATCAAATTTGTTTTGTTGAATTTCTGAACGTAGGCTTAGTCGGGAGACACCTTGACATAAACGATAGTGTATGAACTGTTTAGGAACATTGATAAGACATAAGCTTTCTACATCTGTGACGAATAAAGTAGGAACTAATCTCTAGGTCGCTGGGCCTTTGTGTCATAAATAAGAAAAATAAGGCATCTTCTAGGCTACAACAAACTACAGTTGCCGTGCTTACTGGAGTACTAATGAGACACTGTGTTACTGCATCAATACTTTGATGGTGTCGTATTGCAACGAAATGACTATACAAGAGTTGATATGATGAAAAGGAACAGATAACTGTCAATCCATGCCATATTTTTGCTTAGGATTACAGACAAAGCGACTCCAATATCTAGGAAAGTAAATGTATCAGTTATCCTGAATTCATGAGAAAAGCCTAATTATTTAATATGGATACAATATGAGAATATCTCGAAAACAATGTTTAGTATAGTTTATATCTTTCCGTCAGTTTATCCGTCAGTTTATATTATATCATAATAGTAAATAATTGTCTACAAGGCTTATTATATATTTGTCATGGTTTTCTCAGAAAAGCCAAATTCTTTAATATGGATACAAAATGAGGATATCTCGAAAACAATATTTAGTATAATTCATCTCTTTTTGTCAGCTTTAAGAATATCATAGTGGTCAATAGTTGTCTGCAAAGCTTAGTGTTGGTGTGCGCATCAACAGACGCCATTTAAACCTAACCTAACCTAAGTTTTATATCATAAAATTTTTGGATTTTTTTGGACTAACCTAAAAATAATTCTTTTTGGATAAACTTTATTTTGAGTGATGTAAAGAATGATGTACATAATATAAAATGTATATATATATGAATATATATATATAAATAAATATATGTATTTCTTACCTTTTTTGCATTTCTTTTGTATGGTTCGAGTCTGATCGCAAGCTGGATCGCCCTTCTTCAATGTCAACGTTCGTGAACGTGTATTGGTTTTAGTATCGCACTCAGTCCATGGATTCTTACCATAACGACACGATAAGCCTACAATTATATAATTAAACACAAAAAGAGAATTGGTAATTTGGCAATAACAATAAAAATACGTTTAAGAAATCAAAGCTGGAAACCATAAAAAAGCGAAAACATAAAAATTACATCAATCAATTAAATTAATTTGCAATTAAGAGAAATTGTGGTCCATTTGTACCATTTAGACGAAGACGATGGCATGGGAAGGCACATGGGAAGGAGGCAATAAGAAGAAACTAAATTCATTTCTGTACTTAAGTACGACCACACACATGCTTACGTTGCCAACTTCAATTAATAAAAGAAAATGTTTTTCTTTAGCAGTATGCGTGGAGGATTTCCGCTTCTGCTTCGTACCGTCGCACTCACTGTTTCCTGTTGCTGCTGACATGTTCAATTCTTTGGCGTAAATTTAATGACATTTTTATTATTACAATTTTTCGTTATTTTTCCTTTAATTTTTTTTTTCTGTAATTTTTATTTTTTTTTTTGTCATTTTGTATTTGGCATTTAGTATGATTTTTTTTTTTTGTATACTTTGGCATTTAATAAAACCATAGGACGAGAAGGAGAAGGAGGAGAAGTTCCAGATGGAGACAGGGTATGAGTGAGCTGAGTCACAGAGTAGAACAGAGGACAAATGTTTGTGACAAGTCAGATAAGCGTTAAATGCATAAAGTAAATGGCAACTATAAAAAGCGGAAGAAGGAATATCAAAAAAAGCCAGAGAGCGACATTTTGAAATTACGCCGATGATAAATCGTAATGATTTCTTTCCTACGCTTGTGGTCGTTTGTCAACCAAATAAACGAAATTAATTTATTTTTTTCCTCTCAATATTAATAACCAAAAAAAAAAAAAATATAAATCGTAATGACTTTGTAATTTATATGTAATGCATTTATTAGTGGTGGTCTCGTGCGAAATAATGTCAACGTGGGAAGCTATCTACCTTAATTGCCGTTGGAAACAATAAAAATTTATCAAAATGTTTTTAAAAATTTTAATGTTTATTTAATTAATTTTAATATTTATAATTTCATTTAAATTCGCATATTTATTTTGTTTTTTTTTGTAAATTAATGTCGATTACTTACCATCGCTCTTTGTGCCACGTTCATTACGTATTAATATTTCATGGTCGTCTTCTTCCCAAATCTCACCCTGCGAAGCTGTTGTCGGTTGTGTCTGTTCAGCGACTGGCAATGCCAATGGCGTCTCTTGTACTTCCGTTGTGCCAAACACTGTCTCTGGCAGCACTGCCAGTGTTGCGAATGCAAGCACTGTTAGCGAAAACAAATGGCAACCCTTCATTACTGTCGTTTCTCACACGTACGTTCCAAGTGACAAAGTTTAAAATCTGTAAATATAAAGCAGAAAAAATAATATGAAGTGTTTTATTTAAAAATTATAAAATATTAAAGTATATTAAAGAAAAATTTGATGAAGTCGCAAATACGTTTTTCTTTCCCAATTATTTAAATATTTAAATAAGAAATGAAAATTGTTTTTGCTTTTCATTATAAAAACTTCAAATGTTCAAATCTGATTGAATACTTCCTCTTGCTCATTTTGCGGTTTCTGGTGTGAGGTGCTTAAGTATGTATACGCAGTTATATAAGCGGTATAATGATGTCTGATTGATGAGCAAACTGTTGTCATGGAGATGTCATGGAGCTGACGTGATGATGTTAATACCATGAGAAACGGAATTCTCGTCGGAAATTCAAATGCGCTGGTGGCAAGATTAAAGAAGATTATATGCAAAGTATGCTTGATTGATATTGATTTTTGTTATAAAATTTACGTTGAAGATTTCCGTATGAAAAGTGAGGAAAATTTTGACAAGATGGAATGGGAAAATATATAAAAGACAGATGCAATAGTAATAAATTAAAAATGGATTTAAGTCTTTTGAAATTATCTGAGCGAATGAGATCAATTATGTCAACATGATGGGAAAGAAGTTTTAATTATGTTTTCCATTTGCTGCTTTTTCTCAAATAAAAGAATTTTTATATGATACCTTCTATGTTCATTTATTGGTTTTATTTTTTTGAGGAATAATTTCCATAGGTTCGTTAAATTTTCTATAAAATTATCACGAAAAATGTGAGACAGTGTGACATGAAGTTTAATTAAAAACGACGTAATGAGTTAACTGAAAAATATAAAGGACATATTAAATTAATAATAATTTTTTTAAAGTTATGGAAAAAACTGTATTCAATATCTAAAAGCTGAAAATAGTTATTGTGAATTGATATCTAAGCGGATGGGGTTCCGCTTAGATATCATGGGTGAGCACAGCACTCTGAAGCGTCAACAAATTTTGAAACGTTTTTGTCTTATCATTAATAAAATTTTGAAAATGATAACAGTTTATTAAGAATGTATATAAGTAAATCTATGTGTACTTATTAACTTATGCATACTCATTACTACGATGCTGGGAGTCTTTGAAACAAAAGTTTCTTTTAAGATAATTAGTCCTTACAAAGTTGGCGACGACTACCACATATTATTTTTTATTATTCAACAAAGAAATATCCATCGTTTTCGCTGGACACGATTGCTCAAGAAATAAGCAATTCTCTCCAAGTATTTAAACCACCAGTTATAAAAATAGTGGAGAAAAATAATGTCTCATGTGAAATGACTAATCTAAGGGATTGTTAAGTGTATTTAATTCACAGAATTAGAGAAAGTGAACACGAGGTAAAGGCGCCTTAAGAAAATAATGCGTTAGATCGAAACCCAAAGTCTGTATTTGATATACGGGTTTAAAGTAAAAGCGATGGGGGCGCCTAAATGGATACAATGCATTAGGTCGTAATCCAAAAACTTCATTTAATGTTCAATGTAGAGGAATGAATAGAAACAAGAGGTAGAGGAATAATATGATAGGTTGAAACCCGAGAACGAGTTGCTAAGGCCCAAGAAAAAAGTATATAATTATGCGTTTGACAACTTCGACAAAATTAGAAAGCAATTTTTTTTAGAGGGGAAATATAAAAAATCATGATATTTATTAGTATCGTTAATAAGAACGCACTAATTTTTTACAAACCAGATAACCTACGTCCTTAATTCGCCACTGGAATATTTACAAGATAATGCGTTTTGTGGTATAATAATTCATACAGATAATTCTGTTATAATTTTCATATTACATACATTTCTAATAAGAATAATGTAAACTTCTTCTAACTTCTTTATAAAAAATAAATTAATTTAAGATTATGTTAGTCCAGCATCTTCATATGACTTTGATTGCACCAAATCAGCTCTGAAAACTGAAGCTAGAGTATACTACATCATATGGTTTCTCAAGAGTATTTATTTTTAAGGGTTTAGTTAGGATGTATTCTTTAGAGAGAGATCACATAATTCTCAGTCTACTACTGCTATCTTCTAATGTAATGATACTTATATAATATTAAACAATAATAATCTGATGATCCTAAGGATTAACTTGCTTAAACTAAATTGAAATGCCTTCAATTTATATCAATTGCTTGTCAAAGTAATCAATCTCATAGAAGTTTTCTGTTTACTTAATAAGATAGCATATATTTTTATACATTTTTATTATAATCCAATATTAAAATATGAAAAAATAACATACTTGAACACCATTTGAATAAACAGGTACCACGTAAAAGTTGATAAAGCCAGTAAAATGTTCTTACTTCAGCATAATTTGTTAGATAGTATATGTGAAATATACAGGCAGGCGATCTGGAGTATAATAGGGATGTATACTCTTCTTGTTTTCTACAAAATTACAATCGATCTTATTTTGTCATAGGAATTTGACGTAGCACAAAGTACCACAATTGGCTTAGAGACTAAGCTTTACGATTCGGATTATATAAATAAAAGGTGTTTAAAATCATACAACTTCTCTCAAACTCTAAAATCCGTTAACAGAATTGACTTACTAGCAAGACTGGTCATCAACAGAACTATAATTTTTAGGGTGGACTTAAGAATGTTTGAGAGAATTGTTACTTATATGAAATAATAGCAGAAGCCTTGGTTTAGTCACCTGCGGAATACATCGCTAATAACATTTTCTTATCCCCCAAATATTTAAGAACTTCCGAAAGACATTTAACATTAAATTATTACTTTTCTTGGCTTCTACACAAATGTAATACCGACAAAGTACGTCAGCAAAACACTTTAGTCCTGGGTGACAACATTTTTCGCTGGTAATACCATTAATATACTATGCTACCCAGACTGCACTCCATACTTTTTCAAGTCAAAAAAAGAAAAATAAGAATATGACCATTAGAAATAAATTTTATAATAAAACTGTGCGTTTAATATATATACCTATATACATATTCATATATACAATATATATAATAATAAATGCAGACTATGAAAAATAATAAAAATTAATTTCTTACTGAATAAATTTACAAATTAAATAAAGTATAATTTATAGATATAATATTATTGTATGAAATAGTCATAAAGCGAAATCTGTTATAAGCTTACCTACCATATGGGAAGGCACCTAATACCAATATTAATAATCTTCAAATTTGCCAGCATATACTACAGCCGAGAGTAAATAATGCTCCTTTGAGACGTTATCTATCTTATTGAAACGATGGAACGCTTGAGATAATTTTTCACAGAGACTGAAGGGTTCGAATTGTTAAAAATTTTATAGGTTTCAATTTATAGGTTTATAGGCCATTTTAGTACAACGCTGAACCAAATGTTAATATCACCAAATCAAGCAATTTCAAAAAGGTATGCGGTACTTCTTAGTATAACAAATGAATCAATTACTTAATTAAGCTGAATATTTAAGTTATTCAATACTAACAGTGAGACACTGGTGCATCCACCAAAATTGGTAGAGGTTTGGTGTAGTTTGCACAGCTTGACTCCAAAAAAAAAATAATTAAAAATAATATATTTGATTAAAACGAAACTTAAGAAATTAATTTTTAAACTGAAGTAAAAATAATTGAGAACCAACTCCGTTTCAATCTTATTCTATAATTCTTCACTATTTTTGAGAAATAAATGTTCAAGACATTTACACATACCCGCTCTTATATTTTAAATTTACATATTCAAATATATACTTTAATTTTTTATTTAAAAAAAAAATCATTTTCTGTCGTTGCCATAATGAAAATGCAGAACACAAACGTTCACATTTAAAATGCACATCAAACGCAGACACAACTCCTGACGAAGCAAAAAGGAGTTTGGCTAAAGTGGTAGGAAGACACCTGCAGCATTTTCTGGAAGAGTTGTTACCTCAGTATTTCCTTTCATTTAAAATGCTTAAATGTGCAAATATGCAAAACAAATGCAGCAAAGCGAAATGGTTTTATGCCTGTGATTATTCAAATTCCTGCCATGCAAAATGTTACCAAGACAATGAGTGTGAGTGATGGGAATACGAATGGGACTGAGAACGATGGTGCTGTGCTGGTGATGATGATGTATGGTAAAACAATCTGGTAAAGTTCAAAGTGAATTAAAGCTTTGATGTTGATGTTGATTACTTCGAATGGAAATAAAACAAAAGGAAATTTAAAAAAAAAATACGAAACAGAGAAATGAGAAAAATATGAAATTAACTTTTTTTTCGTAAAAATAAACACTCATACGCTGTGCAGAACAATTAGTAAAAAACTGAACTAAAATAAAATACAAAAATTTGATTGCCTTTTTTAATTAATGTGAGTACACAATTATTAATTTTATTATAATTAAAATGTTAATTGTATGTTTTCATTTAAATTTTTAATTTTGTTACATTTTAGTTTTAAAACTTTTTATATTAAAATAGTGCAACGTGACTAGCCCATTTACTACATTATAATTATTGTTATAAGCTTTTCACATTAATTAACTATTTTATGTTCTCATAACAAATTCTACGATTATGCACTTAAATAATGGCTTTTAATTAGGCAATTTATTTCGAAAACCAGAACATGCACTTTTCCATAACATGACAAAAAAATGTTACTAAATAAGTTATAAAGCTATACAATATTGTATATATTGTTATATATGGTGGTATATTATGTAAAAGTATGTTTTTATATAGAAAGAGTAAATTAAATAGAACAGCTTTTATTATAATAATTTTAAATAAATCGTATGAAGTTGATATTTGGCTAATATAAGCATGCATTTAAGCGCGTTGTAAATTTACAATAAGTTAGTTATACAATGTTAGGCATTGTATAATTATGTTACATAGAAACATAGATACCTATTGTACATAATTTTGATATAAATTAGTGTATTAGTAGTTTAGAAATAATACTGTTATTACATGGATGTACAATTAACACTTTACAACCATT